AAAATATCGAACCAGTTTTATGAAATCGTTGACAAAATAAGCTGGGCTGAATACTGCCCTTGTGATATTCAAATGTGATTCCATCACATCGGAATCTGGAGGGAATCGGATTAAGCGCAGCATGACAGAACAATTTTTGTCTCCTTTGCTCAAAGTGTTGGAAAAATGGGCATCTACATGCCATTCATTGGTTCAAATGCAAAGAGAATAATTTCGATTCGATTCTGGATGATATTTAGAAATAGTTGAGTCATAATAGGGCTTTGTGTGGTGATAGATTTCCTTTCAGTGCGGTACGATACCGCATGACTGACAAAACTGTATTACTGTACCAGCGAAGTCAGCAGGGCCACGCTACAGCCACGAGAGGCTATTGCAAAGCCTTAAATTCCTGATAAACGAAGCTAAATAGCATTTCCTTGGTTTCAGATGTTTTGTGATTGTTTTATCATCACAACTGAGTTAATTTAATATCTTAATTGTTTTTTATTTCGGCAACAAGAATTTCGTCGAATCTCAAGATATGCATGCACAAATTCGATGTTCGCGCATATCAGACGACGGTATTGTACAGGAACGCTCTGTGAAGTCAATCATTGATTTTTTTAATGAGCGAAGAGTATCCGTTAGCATGCAGATCGAAAGATGTTAAGGGGAGAGATGCATTGCTTCACTGCTAGTATACTGTATCTTCATCAGAAGGCAATGTGGAAGTGAATGTATGAGCATGAACTTGCCATCATTGATTGTGTGTGGATTCCAGTCGATTCTCTCACGATATCGCTCATCTTGGATTCGCACTAGTGCCGGCGTGGTCATACCCTCTCAACGGGTTCCCCTGCCCAAGAAACCCGGAGCAACCCGTCTCAGTCTGCCCCTGCCATCTCAAGCGCTCGCACGCTGCAGCAAGTCGTGTGAAACCCAACACCCGAATAAAGGCCGCGGTTTTTCTCCGTTTGTAGTGGAATTCTGAAAGTTCGTTGCTGTGGGTGTTCCGGAACGAACCCAATATGGAGTGTAGCATTGATGATGACTCCATCATCGTGGATGCTGCAGCATTACAATAATGTGGTGAGTCTGATCGTGTACTGCCGCTTTTCGTGTGATATTATCCATCAGAACACTCCGTCAAGGGATCAAGTATTCCAATTTGCCCTAGATTTATAATCGTCTTAGGTAAGAATGAGCTTGGTTTCAGAGCAATGTAAAGTTTTGTGATGTTTTTGAAGCTTCTCGGTCTTCATTCAACTCCGAAGAAACTATCTCATCCTGAAATCCTCTCGAGTAATCGAGAGCCCTAAGCAGTACGATCATTTATACTTGAACAGAAAAATGTCGGCTTCAACAAAGAACCCCCGTGTTCATTACCGAGGTTTCTATCTTTCTTTCTGCAGAAAAGAAGCCATCTCAAATCCTGTTCAGGTTCATGTTCAAGTATCGTTGACCGTTAAGCTTCTTCATCTGAAACCATGGTCGAAGCAAACCCATCGGTGTTGAACTCAATCCCGTTCTTGGAAATACTGTATGCGCTTCAAAATCCTAAAATCTGAAAAATGGAATGATGAAAGATGAATATAGAAGCGAGGCAGCGCCATGCCAAGAAAATAAATTTAAATCCTTAATAATTTGTATGAGTGTTAAGCACCTGCAGCTCGTTAAATGTAAACCCCGTATAATGGCCCGAGATCGAGTTCATGTTTCTCTCATTATTGGACTGATGGAAATCCCACGAATTTCGTCCTGAAATCCCTTTTAATTCGCGATTTGAAGCGTCTCCCATCCCATGCATATATATTTTTTTATTTCAATGTGGCGTGGGAATTAAAAAAGTGAATAATCATATCGCGGGAAGTCGTATGTGCATTTTTTGTATGATATAAATCGTGTTTAATCATCGTCAGTGCTCCGAGATGAAAGTGTCGTGAACTTCGGAATTCCGGGATCGGTTCTGAAGCATGATGGCGAGACAAGCTGTGGCGCACAATGGAGACGAGATCCTGCCCTACAACCCGGTGCCCCATCAGTCATCGAACCCATCAGCAGTAGCCGTGAAGCCCAGACTGGACCTGAAGCCGTATGCACAGCAGTGCAAAACAAAGTCCCGGAAACTGGGCAATGCCCGGGTTTGGATGGAGAGCTCCTTTGTGGGTACGCAGCCGATTTTGAGTCCGGAAACCCCTTCCGGGGACCTGGCTATGTTCGTGTTCGACGACCCCAGTTTACTGAATGGCGACGCGGATCCGTCCAACCTTGTGCCCATGGTCAAGCTTAGGTCTGGCTCTGCCCAGTTGGATGCTTATGTCGTGCAACGGGAACTGGATGCCAGGAAGAACGGTGAGAATACATTTTTTCGTAGTCCTGTGGCATTTCAGAACATTCGCGAAGGATTTAGCGACTTATAGGTAGAAGTGTAATTACGTCAAAGAAGACTTTCGGATAAGACCTTTATTTTGTCTCTGATCAACTCCGTGGAGGATCAATTAATACTATGCTGCTGGTTTAATTACTCGTCATCAATATTCCGACAGCTTTTAAGCTCATGAATCCTTATGCTTTGTATCTGTGGGTCAAAATGTTTTTACAATAACGAACTTTCGGAGGCTACTGAAATTATTCTTGACGGTGAGATAATTTTAGCAATTTCAGATATTCCTACTAAAATCGGGAGACTACTTTCTTCGAACTTAAGTTTTCTGATCATGTCTGAATTTTATCATGCAAAGATTCAAAGAAGTCTGAGTGACATTTTGTTGACTCCTGCTGTGAGCAGTGAATTTTTTCATAATTTCCTCAATTCGTCTTCAATTTGTTTAGCCTTCAAACTTGTCAACCACTGAGTGTGATGTGATTTATTCGGCGAATGAGCCAGAAAATTTCGCTTTTTTATTGAGCTGGCTGAATTTATTATTTTATACATTTGTGGATATTCGTACCGCATAATGGAGGGAAGAATTTGTCAAATTATTTTCCCCCTTACGGTGTGAAAGTGTGTTTTTTTATCCTTATAATGCCTGATTCCCGAAGTTTGAATAAGCAATAATATCGAGTGAATTTCCTTTTGCAAAAATCAGCGGCGTGACAAATTGAAGAAAAACATCCATTTGCTTTTACGTCAAATGCAGAAAATGTCTCGCCGTGAAAGGATTTTGGTATTCTGTTCGTCTGTAAATAATTTGGGATGTTATTCGAACGTGATCAAAGCACGAACTGTTGATGTCCATCGAGGTAATCAACTCTGCCTGATGAGACAATCTAATAATGATGGTCATTAATTCAACGTATCAGCGATGACAAACAGCGTATGTCCCATAATTAATTACATTTTCGCACTCAGGGTATCACCAAATACCAACAAATAAATGTAATCAAGGAGAATAATGTTGGCTAATCAAAATTGATTCTTATACAGTATTTTTTGAAAGTTCTGTAAGATAAAATCAATTTTTATTTAAGTTTTTTTTTCGAATGAGGGAATGTTTTCTGGAAAGAGGAATTCAGCCATTTTCGCGCAATTGTTTGAAGAGTGTTGCTTTTTATCGGTTTGTATGCATTTTTTGGTATGGGATTGTTCAAGTCTTGCAGTAATTTTTTTTCTGGATGTTCAAATTAGACTCTTGATAATTCATGCAAATTTTATTGCAATATATTCGAAACCCCAATTTTTGCGTCCTATACGAAGATCCGAACATTTCAGGCGGTCTGTTTATGCAAATAGAGTTTCGTTGACTTTTACGTAGTCTGCTCCAGCGTTAATTTATGCAAATACTCCGCCATTTACTTTGAAGTTCGTCCTCCTGTATTTTCGTATAGGAAACCATTCCGACGAGATTCTTTGGAATCGGGTAAAACTCGTAAGGAAATCCTGAAAGCTACTATAGAGAATCAATCACAGGGATTTACTGAATAAACATGATCAGGTGAAACAGCTGATCCGGGAACATCCCGCATTATTGCAGCTGAATGGAAAGAAAACCTTTTTTTCCCCTGGTTCATTGGGAAGCCATAAAAAGCATGGACTCGAATTCCTGGGAAAATGAGATGCACTGAGTGCTTCTCCAAAATTTTACACTTGGCAAAACCTTGATCAAGTTTGCATCTTGAAAAAAATTACTGTACTAAAATTATGAATGTATTGACGTTATGTTTCGGTGCTTCGAAAACATATTAAGGAATCCAAAAAGATATTCTAGAGTCGGAATTTTTCTTTCTCGCATTCGAAATTCAAGAAAATAATTTTTGTCGTGGTTGAAAACATATATTGCAAATTTTATTTCATCGTACAATTTCAAGATTTGTACAGACTTAATAAATCCTTTTAATCAGATGAATTATGTTTTGGGATGAAAACTGGGGAAACTTCGAAAGCATATAGTTTATGCACAATTTTGAATTTAATTAAACTGAAATTCGTGGAGGAAAATAAAATTGCGGAATGTCATCGAAAACCTTGAAAAATGGCGAATTTTTCTTTTCTTTTCGATTGTTTCGCCGATCAACAATCGTGTATAGATTTTTTTCTGAAAATTTTTATATACTTTTTCCTGGAATTTCAAAGTAAACTTTGTCTGAATCATGAATTCGTCTGAACCGCATCTTATCTGACGATTATGTGAAATAAACTCATAATCTCGTAATTTCACGCGAGTTTAAATTTCGAGTCCGAAAAGTTTTCAACCAGCAATTTCAGTACTTTTTGTTTGTGTTTTCTATCCTGATTCTATTCTAATGGAGAATAGTGAAACTTTTGTATATAGCACCGAATCTTTCGGAATCCATTTTTCCAAGGTTACATTTTTGCGATTTTTCACGGTGATCCTTTTTCTCATTTACCTTTTACCACGTACGTGGTGACGTAATAATCCTGAGAATTAATGCGTAGCCGTGATCTTATGCTGGATCGATTCCCTACTACAGTACTTTTCAAAAGGACACGTGAAAACCAATGCAGGAAGGTTTGAGGCTTGATCAATACTTCATTGGAATGGCATTTGCTTGGTCTTAAGTCTTGTATAAGATAGGGTGTCCTCAAATAAGGCTATTGAACGAGATGCGAATTCGTCATTTGCACTTGTCTTTCTAGGTTTGAGGCTTGATCAATACTTCATTGGAATGGCATTTGCTTGGTCTTAAGTCTTGTATAAGATAGGGTGTCCTCAAATAAGGCTATTGAACGAGATGCGAATTCGTCATTTGAACTTGTCTTTCACATGTTGTGTGAAATTCACGTAGAAAAAGTGCTTGTGAATATTTTTAAAAGGATTTTTTTAGTGTCTCTGATGGAAGAGTGTGTAAAGGCTGATTGTTATATTTAAATTCCCTCACGAAAGCCGAATGAATCGAAAATTTTGTAATCTTATTGTACTTATTGTCTTAGAAACCACCTTAGCGTGTGTTAGTCACCGCGTGCTCAGAGCACTAAAATAATGCGTCACTGTAACGGAAAAATTAAAAATTGTCGTCAGTAATATTTTGGGCAGCACCCTGTACTTCTTCCGTACCTTTATGATTCACGAGGGTTTCCTGCATAGAAAATCTTTCGAGTCACAAACATAATTTTGTTGCAACCGGATTCAACCTGGTGTTTAATTTTTGTTGTTGTTGCCAATTTTTCTTATTTAAGGAATTTCATCCTATTAAAAATAAATCGGACTGAGGTGCGATTCTATTTATCCTGAGGTGGTTAAAAAACAGTTGGTTTTTTTGTTGAAATAAAGTAGTATGCTTCAATTTTTTGTTGTTGGAGAAAATCTTCAAATGCGAGCGTTAGGATTTTTGACGTCGGAATATTATTATTCAGGCATGCTCTAAAAACTAGTCAAAAATGACCTCTGATGTTGTGCTGAGGAAAATAGAGGTTTTTTCCGAAAATTTCAGGTATTTTTCACGTGACGAAAATCGAGAATGTTCTTGAAATTCTGAAAATTCATGTCTTTACCTTATTTATTTATTTCTTAGGCCTTATTAATTAATACTTATAGGTATTCATTTCTCGTGCTTGATCGGACGGAATGTATCAATGAAAAATAAGACGCGGTACTGAACAGGAAATCAATGTTTTGCAGTAGATTTCTTCGTCAAGTTACTGGAAAATATTTTTTAAAATATTTTCAAACAGAAAAAAGAACAATATTGGAGGAATATTTATTTTATTGGTCGCTCTTCAATTGATTGTTATTTCGATCGTGAGTAAAAAAAATGTGCGTAACTGCGTCGAACAAAACGCAACCAAAAAAAGAAAAAGATGCGAAAACCTATATTTCTTGGCAACTTGTGGTATATATACACACACAGGTCATTTGCAATCAAAAAAGGCTTCCTCAATGTCCGAGCAGAACTTACTGCTGACGCAGAAGCACTGGAGTGCTCAAGGCAAAGGTCTGGGCACTATTTCCAAGTCCCGTCACCACCACTGCTCTGATCAAGGCTTCCAGCATCATCACCCGTCATCATCATCCGAACCCGAACCTCTCAGCATGCAACCCGAAAAGGAAAACGCCGTCGCAATAGCCGCAGCCATGCTCACCGAGGGCCTCAACAAACGCATGATGTTCGCCGTCGACCCAGACGACTTCAAACCCATCACCAGCAGCAGCAGTTCGTCGAAACCCGGCGAAACCCCGGAACCCACCCGTCGGGGATCCACGTCGTTGGACGATGTCCTGAGTTCCCTGCTAGCGTTGCCACCGTCACCAGCATCAGCGAATAACAATAAAAATGCGGTTGAGGACAATGATCATCATCATCATCATTTTGGGAGCAGCAGCGTGTTGGGGAGATCGGGTTCTTTGCGGAGACCCACTTCGCAGCCGGACTTGGATCAGCAGCGGAGAAGCAAGTCGCCGGTTATTCACGAAGGTGGTGGTGCTGCTGGTGCTTACAGTTGGAGGAAGCAGGAAAATGGGACTTTGGCAGCAACAGCGGGAACAGAGGGGACGAATAAGGTGAAGATGAGACACGAGAGTTTGGGGGATCAGACGACGAGGAGCAAAAGCCCGTCTTTGCTTGATGCAGGTACGAACGAACGAAGAGACGATATGAGAATAAAGGGAGGGGGATCATGAAGCAAATATGTGCTGTTTGTGTGTGTGTGCTGTGTGTTATAGTGCAAGTTAAATATTTGTCCCTCATCTCTTACTCTCATATTCTAATGCTTTTTTTTTGTGTGTGTGCGTTTCTGAAGAGCAAAGCTTTGTTCTTCTTCTTCTTCGTCTTGGGATTACAAATAGGATAACGTGTGTCCGAGAGTATTTCCTTGGGATGAACATAATATAGTAGTGGTGCATCTCGCCTCGAGTGCGTACATGCCTTGCATATACACTGCAGCAATCATCGAATAATAAACGTGGAATAGGAAATGACGCGTATTATGCGGCGTCTCGAAGTGAGACTTCAAAGGAGAAAGAGCTCTTCTTGCTTTGAATTTTTATGCGTGGAAGTGCACTTTACAGTACTTTTATCTCGATCAAGAGAGAGAGAGAAAGAGTGACGAAGTCGACGTGCTTTTGAATTTTACAATTTTATATGGTTTTTTTTTATTGACACGATTGATCCATCAGCAAGTCTTCATTTGAATTTCGGATGTATCAAAAAATGTTTGCGTCGATTTCACGTGAGAGGTCAAGAAATGTCATGCTTTTAATGGGAGAAAAATGTGGTACATGAGTTTTGCCAGTGTTATTTGTAAGGCTTTTTCTGTTTGAGATGAGATGGAGATGCACTTGATATTTAGGGAGTAATATTTGGTCATTTCCTGACCTCTGTGCCAATTTTATGCTCAAACAGCGACAACTGAAAAGGATACATGGAGAAAGTTTCAAAGTGGCCCCGATTGAGTTAGTACCTGTACTCAATTTCATGAAACTCGCTGAATTTGGGGATAAAAACGGCAATAATTTAATCTTTTATTACAATGCTTATTCTGCTTCTAACAGTTCTAAGAAATGCTGGAATTCACATTTGTGTTCATGAAAATTTTTTATACAAGTTACTTTTACCGCATGAAGGAATTAATTTTTTTGCAGATCTTTCATTACATGATGTGGACCTTCTCTATGTACTGTACATTAAAATCCAACAAAAAAATTTTATACTATATTTATGCATTTACCATGTTCACCTTTTTTCCAAAAATTCAAAAATAAAAATGGGGTTCACATCATAGGCAGGTACAAGTTCATTATTACTATCAGCAAGTTCTTCAATGCTAAATTGCTATTATGATTGATCATTATACAGGTGGACTCTCTACAATAATGAACTTGTCTGAAATGATTTTCTCTGTATATTGAATTTTTTGTAGCCCTGCTGTATAGGGTTCCTCCCCCCTTTTCCTAAAGGTTCTCTAGAATGAACTTTTTCTTGTCCCTTGATTTTGTTTAGAGAGAGTGTACCTGTATACAAGCCATGAGATAATTAAAAATAGAAACAAGCAAAAGTTGAAAGTGACTCAATTAATCTTTGATTTTTGCCTGAAAGCATGTTCTTATTTACATTATATGGAAATTTTCAAAGTATTGCAAATTTTGTGTTGAAAAACATATGGGTGCATGAGGGATAATTCTTTCCAAATTTTCTCTGTAACAAAACTAATGTGCACCTGATATTTGATTGAATATGGAAACTTAATATCATCAGACGGGGATTTAAAATTTGTTGTAAGCAATAATTATACATGACAAGATTCTGCTGTATCTAGTTTTATTCCATTTCAACCATCAGATCATGACGCAAGACCAGGACGTTCTCCAGAACCCTATTTCTTTGAGGACCTTGAGATTAAAGTGATGCCCAAGGATTCAGATGGGGTCTCAGTGCCTGGAACTCCCTCCAGAGGACAAACAAGGCCTGGTTCTCCCCAGGCATTAAGCAATATCCTGATACAATGCAGGAACAGCAGGTGCTCCAACAGCTGCCTCATTGAGGAAGCCCAGCAGGCCTACAAACCGTGTAGGAACTGTCATACTTTCTACTGTTCCAGGTAACCCTATATACTTTTTGAAAGATATGATGATGATGACTGGATTTTGCAAAGACAAATGTTCTTGTTTTTAATTCATTTTCCTTTCCACAGAGAGTGCAGAAGAGCTCACAGACCAAAACATGTGATGCATTGTTCTCAGCTCAAGGCTTCTTCCTTACTCACTGAGCTCATGCACCAAGTTAGAGACTTCAAAGATGTTTACTTGCAGGTTTCCAAGGTAAGATCTCAAAAATACACATTTTGGTCTCTATACATGACAAAATTTGTGTCCCTCTATAGTACATGATAACTATGACTCTGTTGACAAATTCATGGCATTTCAATAAAAATTCTCAAGAGTGTCTATAAGTAGTATAATTAGTGCAGTGTGAATATATTGGTTAATGCGTCAATGGAATACCTTCTTTTCTTATGGCCACAATTGCACATTACAAGAATTGAACTTGGAAAAAAAATTTTGATTCTCAAAACTGAGGTACTCTACAAAATTTGAAGAGGACCAGGAAATAATATTGGCTTCACATGATTTATTCTTATGTACTGTACTTCCAAATTTTATCATCAATAAATAATTATCTGGAAGCAGGCTGAACATATTGTGCTTCAATTTGTGCTCAGTAATTGCCTTGCACTGTTATTTTTGTCATTAAAATTATGGCACTTCATTATTCATGCATTTGTATGTCCTGTAATTTGTTTCTTTGCCCTTATAGTGGACTATCATTTTTTATTGATTTGCCAGAATGTGTTGAGTGGATGTTTGGGGGATGAGGAGAACGTTTTTGAACCTGGTGAATGCTGACGAACAGCAAATAAAGCGTGTATATCAATCAAAAATAGTAATTGACATAATTTATTTTGACGAAAATGTGCCATTCGGAACTATAAAAGATTTTATAGACAAAAATGCATAAAATTTTGAGTTTAAACCATTCAATTTTTTGAAAGGCAACAAAACTTAGTGAGAGAAAATATTAATTTTGCAAATTTCAGAAAGTTCATGTCTTTTATGATGGTCAGTTTTTCTCCAATTCTACTCGTGAATTGTATGCCAACTCTTCTATGCTAAGAATTTTCTGAAATTCACAGATCTTTGAGGTCAATGAAAGATTTCTTGGGTGTCCAGAACAGATAAATTATTTAAAATCTTGGGAAATTTTCCACATGCTGTAATGAAACTCATCCTGGAATGGATATTTTTTTTAGGGACCCACTGTACATCAGCAGTAGTCATGGACTATTTAGTTATTTTTCTACAGCTGTCTGTTATTTCTTTTAGGTTGCAAGACAAGGCTATGCTTCCAGAGGATTCGGATGCGTGAAGCTCTTTTTCCAGACAGTTGAAGATCTCGAAGAATTCTTGGAGTCAAGACAGCTGGACAAGGTTACCCCGGGCTATTTGGCTGTTCAAGACTTGTTGCCCGAGGAAATTGGCACGGAAAACTTCCACTCGCTTGTTGATATGTGTCACACATACAATGCTGATGCTCGAATGGTGTTGTACGCTGCTGTTTGCATTTGGAGCCAAGTTAGTGATGAAATTATATTTCAAATTTACAATGCGCTGACGAATGACCGGATATTGATTTTTATTCATTTATTTTTGCAAGGTGCCTGGTTCAGAGAATACCAAGTTCGAGAGACTGCTGGTGGTGAAATGTGCCAAAATGAAACTGAGCCCGGCGCTGAACCCGAGGCAGCAGAGTCAGAATGCGACCGGAATGGCGTCCCGGGTTCCCAGGGTGCCAGCTATCAATCCTCTTCAACTGCGGCAAGAGGCTATTATCACCAAGGATGTCGAGGATCAGGAAACCCTCATCATAGCTTCCCAAACGTCGAAATCGCAGAAGGATCGAATACTGGTCCGGGAAGTTGTGGAAAGCTCATTGGCCGAGAAAGGAGTGGACCTGGCCACCAACTTTAGGGATATCGCGGCGAAACTGGACGCCTGGGTGGATGTCGGGGCTCCTTTCGGCCATGTCGTGTTTTACCCACAGGTTCATGATTTTTTTTTTAGTGTACACTCAGTTGAACCTCCCTGAGACGAATTTTTCTTTTCATGTCCCTGTCTGAAAGTTCCATTTCAAAATAATGAATTAAAAACCTCCATAACTCGAATTTTCTGCAGCCTAGTCTTTTCTTGATTCAGCAAAGCAGAAAACAAAAAAAGTAAATTTTTGTGTTTTGAAAGGAAGTGACAGACTAATTGGGCAAATGAAGCCATGCCTCTAAGTTCAGCTTTCTCTCAACTCATTCAAGAAGCAATATATTAAAGCCCATAATATTGCCATTGACAATTTTCTGGCACATCTTCAATGTTTCCCAAAACAAAAATGTTTGTTTCCCAAACTCAAAATCTATCTTACTCAAAAGTGCCTGAAGTCCCATTGTTTTGCTGGTCCCTTGAAATTTGACTTGGAGAGGTTTGACTGTGAGAATAAATTTTCTTTCATAAGTTGAACGCAGAGCAATAAGGCACCATCAAAAATTTGAGTTAGGAAAATCATCATTTTTGCTGAAATGTGGGGGAAATTACTGATATTTAGGGCCTTGAACTGTTGGATAAATGAGTTGACTTGATGCTGAACTTCAATGTAATGGGGTATAGTTTTTTTTTATTAGTCACTCAACTTTTTTTTAAAAGCATTAGGTTATATTTTTATTTATTCTTTTTCTTCCTGGGTCTCCAGAATAATAGACCAAAGGCTTCTGGAATTTAAGTTATAAAAGCTTGAGGGGAGAAAGTCTTTGAGTTAAATAGTTTAATATTATATTGTTCCTAAGAGAATTGATGCAGGTACAGTCAAACCTCAATAAGCTGCAGTATTTTTTTTATTGGTTTAACAGGTTTGGTGGTTTATCCCAAAGCTTAAATAAAATGAAAATTAAGTAAAATTGGAGAGACATTTTTAATTATTCTAGAAAACAATCAAAATAACCCTGCGATGTGTAAATTATAGCTTCAGAAAATTTCCACAACAAGTAAGTTATGTCATATTGGCATTCAAGTTTTTTTTTTCAATCTGAGACCTCTTGAAGAAATTTAAATCTTGGTGGCAGGCTATTGAAGTCAAAATTAATTGGCGTCAGACACATATTTGATTCATCAATAATTATGGCATATGGCAAATTTCGTTTGAAAGGGGGTTTCCCATGTTTTTATGATTTGGGTAGATTATTTTTCCGGATAGTTTCGCATCTCATCATTGGGCTTCGACTGTACTCAACAAAAATTCAAGATAAACGGAGGCTTTTGAATTTGCAAGGCTCCAACTGTGATAACGTGATTGTGAATTTTATCGCAGGATTCTTCACGGAATACTTTCATGTGCATCATCATGCTGGAACTCGAGGAGGAGAAATTCAAATCCTTGCCGAGAGACATACCAAATATTGAGATCATCACGATCCCGGAACATCCGTGAGAGGCGCCATCTGTCTGTCCAAGGAGGCAAATCAAAGGAGCGTCACAGAGCTTCGGAAAGGGAGGAACTTCTGTCCGGAACAAATAGCTTTTTGATCAGCTGACACGATGGGTTCCAATCAAGAAAAGAATAGAAAGCAAGCTTCTTTTTTTCTTCAACTGCGAATTTTTCGTTGTTGTTTTTCCTTCTGGCAATACTAAACTCTCTGTCATCTGACGACGACGAGGAGGGGGATCACTTAGTGTGAATCAAGAGGTGCTCATCACTTTTGCAGCCTTTTTGTTGTTCCGGTGTGTGTGAGTGTGTTTGTGGATCCAAAGGTGGTCTTCATTGTAAAAAAAAAAAGAAAAGAGAGAAATGGAAAATGTTACCTTGTGAATACTGCTGCAGGTTACAGTGCAATGTTTTGGGATTGTTGCAGGGTTCTTTAATAAGGCATTATCTTGTGATGGTTTCCAAACTTGTTGAGAGTTTTTTTCCTTGTGATTTTCATGCATTGGATACTCATGGGCTTTGATGAAAAGAATCAAGTCCCAGTTCCTGCATTATAGTTTTCTCCCATCTTGTATGAGGGTAGGTTATATACGACAAGGCCAAGTTTCGAGCACAGAATTGCGAAATTTTGATCTGATTATTTCAACGACGGATCGAGTGAAGTCCTTGCATATTAATGAATAGCAAAAAAAAGGAAGTGGGGAACATGGTTCTAGTGAGGGCAATTATTGCATGTCATGCGATTTAATAAAGATCAAGGCCTCATCCGAGATTTTCTCTCTCGCTTGCGTGTGTTATCATTTAATGAGAGACACGTCGGAAGCCCCCCCTGGGGGGTGTGGAATGCAATTTCATGCCTCAGGGGAGGCTGAAGTGTGTAGAAGGTGCACTCAAAAGAACTGGCTGCAGATAGCATCAGCTGAGGATAGACTAGTGGTGCTGCTGGGTTGCCAAGGAAACCCGCGGATCTGGCACATGCCCAGTGAAGCAGCAGCCTCAGGGGTTCTGGAGAGGGGGTTGCTATATTCAGTGTTCACGGGGCATGCTGCAGAGGTCTGCTCTGGGGGGGTCTTCATGCATGCAGCCTGCTGCCTCCTTACTCTGACACAAGCAGGATTCAAACATCAGCAGTGTTGGCAGTTTTCTTTGCAACCAACTTTAGAAATAAGACACAGAACTAACAAAGATAGTTATAGAAAAGAGTAAGTCGACGTTCTGCTCCACTCTCTCTACGTTAAAAATACAAAAGATAGTGAAATAGGGTAAAACCTGTCGTCGATGGGGATGCAGAAATGCAAAACTTAACAAATACTATATTCATGCTCAAGTGTTTATACCAAATATATGCAGTACTGTATTTACTACTTATTGAGTATACAACATGACTTTTTTTCTGAAATATCAAGGCAGAAGAGTGGGGTGCACATTATGTGTATGGTTGTACATTTACTGTGGCAAAAAATCATAAAATTAGGGTTGGGAGTCATGATTGATACAATATAGGTGCTCATATTGGACAAGGAATTATATTTGTCTCAAATTCAGTTGAAATGCTGTATCTTCTTATATTTATTTATGGGAATACTTTGATCACCATTATAATTTAAAAAATTAAATCGATCATGTAAAATGGTGGGAGGTTATTCCAAAAAACTGAGGTGTGTGTCATACTCCAGGGTGTGATGTACGGTAGATCCACTGCACAGTATTGTCTTACAGTAAAAATATTATGATACATTATCATGGATATTATGTAGCCTTTTCTCCTTGTCAAGGTTGAAAAAGTGAGCTAGATTGTACAGTAATTGTGGTACTGTGATCTGCCTACAATAGTGGTATGATAATGTTGATGTGTAAGTGTATCATAGCAATGCACAATACTGTACTCTTGATGCCTCATAAAAACCCAATCCACTTGTTAGAACATGATGGAAGTCTAATTGTTCTGCCATTTCCTTCTTGTGCTGATCAGATAATAAAATTATATATTTCCCTATTTTCCTGAAAAAAAATTGGGGAAAATAATCAACCCCCTTTTATTATGCTAATGTATTCAAAGGAACATTTTGGGAAAAGTTTTTATTTCATTTTAGAAAATGAGTTTAAAATATACAGCTAGTATTTGTCATGATTTTTAAAAAGTTTTATTTGTTGAGGAGAATAAATGGTCTGCCTGACCATTTACACGGCATGCCTTTCAAATCTACATGTGTGTCTTGAACTCTTGATGCTTTTTGCAGGAACTTTCCATCGCAATAGATGCAACAAAACAGTGGATATTTATGAGCAAGTTTCTTCTCCGCCAGTCAAGGACAGGGTCTTGGGCCAGCCAATAACTTGCACATATCACTTGAACCCTTTCCCAAAGAAAAACTCAGAGTGGGCCATAACACTGAGGTTTGAAAAATTCAAGGTTGGAAGTTTGGTCAATGGAACAGTCTGCTCTGGGGGATACCTTCAGGTGAGTGCTTTTTAAATAATAACTTATAACTGATAGTGGTTATATTGCTGCTGGTCTCTTGCCAGCATAATTAAATATTGAAAAGTTTGACTGTCTAGATGCATGGAAGAAACCAGATATTGACCTTGAACATGGTTTCAAATAATTATGCAGTCAGTTTTTCTTGTCTATAAGATAAACTTGTGTTTCAGTAACAGTTGCAGCTCATTAATTGTTTGTTACATTCCTACTTGAGGAACTTTCTGTTGCATACTCCACTTCAAATTTAAATATCCATTTAACATAATTTGTTTTACAATAAGAAGTGACTCATTTGGAGAGCATCCAGCAAAAGGAAAGCAATTTTCTGTGAAGTTGAGTTATTTTATGCCAGTGCAGAAAAAATTACAATGTTGAATAAAATCTGTAACATCTGAGTAAATTGGGAGATTTCTTTTAATTGACAAGTGAAGTGTAAAATGTATCAACTCATAAAATGGGTTACTTTTTTCAGATACTGGATGGAAGGAACTTGACAACTGCAGTTGCCAGAGGACCTCACAGTGGAGTAGGTGGAGCAGGAGGTTACTTCTGTGGAGAAATTGAAACTTCAAAGGAGTACACATCTGAAAGTGATGAGCTCTACATAATCTTCCATGCAGACAATTATGATGAACAGTCCTATTTCCTCTTTGAATCCAGGGCTGAGAAGCAGAAAGAAATCTACATCAGGTGAGACTTTTTCTGTATTTTATAAATTCAAAATTGTTTACTCAAAAAATAACTGCATGGTCAAGGCTGTTCAACATTTCCCTTGACAATTTGACATTAAATTCAGAAGAGGATGCTGGCCCAAAAAAGTTAATCTCTTCAAATGCTTTAATTTCAATTTATTTGAACACGTTTTAACCAAGAGTATAAATTTAAAGTGCAATGATCAAAGGTCGTCCTTAGAAACTTTTCTATCAGATTTTAAATGTTCATAATGTTGATTGCTAATCATTTCACTGGAGTGGTAAATTAAGCAAGCCTTCATATTTTTTTTTATTTTTAAAAGCAAAAGACAGCATGTCTCAAACTTGCCAGCAATCATTTTTGTTCCATCAGATTAAGAGGTTGGGAATTGATGTTGCAACTGAGTGTTAGTGACATCTGTCATCAAAAATGGAGCGGAGATACCAATCAAGTCTCAAAGCAAGTCTAGATGTCGCTTTAATATATTTTGCATATTGTTTATCCAGGACGCAGAAATGTAGACGTGTTGATATTTTTTAGGTATTAATGCCTCTCTTTAATCCACTCTTTATACCTTGTGGTTTTATGGTTTTCTATGCTTAATTTGAAACTGCTATTTTCTTGAAGGTTTGGACCAAGGCCAGAATTGTTTCCAAACCGCAGAGGTCAAACAGTGGACGATACATTTTGTGATAAAACCTTCACTGACTGCAAGAGGGAGAGTTGTTACGTCCAGTCCCCGGGATTCCCAGGGGTTTATCTGCCAAATCTGAGTTGCCAATATCACCTGGAAGCAGCAGATGCGGGGTTTGTGCGATTGGACATGACAACTAGCATAGATTTCATGGTGGACGGAATGAGGTGTGAGGACATTATGATCTGTCCTCCAAAACCATTCACTGCCAATGACTGCAACCATGATTACATCAGAGTGTTTGATGGGGATTCACCTTCAGCACCTGTCATTGGTGAGTTTTGTTATAGGTTTTTCTTCACACACATGAAATATCTGGATTCCTGAGCATAGTCAGTTTAAATTAATCAGGTTCACAAAAACTTCAGCAGTCTGATGAAAAACAGAAGTACTGAAATATTTCAGTGGCTGCTGTTTTCCAAGGTCATGTGATTTCACTGCTGGGTCATCCAGAATGCAGGATTTGTGTATTTTTTCTATGCTGGGACATTATTTTCAATTGATGCAAGTTTGTACATTATCAGAATCACTATAGCTGTTGTTTCAAAACTTATCCAGAGGAAATCGTGTTGCAAGTATGATTCCATGGGATTAAGAAAAAAGCTTGTCATAATAACAAAAATCATTATACCAAATTTTCATACATAGAGACATTGAAACATTCTATCCAGAAATGAAAAGTTTTTTCATTTGAACACTTTTGTTTTTCAAGGCAAAAATTAGAAGATATTCATGGAAAATTCAAGTTTCTATGCACAGTAAAAATTAGCACAGAAGAAGTAAAACTAGTGGAAATACTTTTCACCAGTGAAAAGAAAATCTTCTTACAAAATCAGCAAGTTAGGATTCTTTTTCATAATTTTGTTCCTGATTGACTGGAGAAAAAGAAACATGAAGCTCACTGGCTTTGGTGGAAACTGGGACAAAAATCAATTTCTTGTGCAGTGCTGAATCTGTAAAGTTTGCAATAGCAATATTTTTAGATTTTTTTCTTCCATGCTTCTTCTGCTTGAGCCTTTGAAATTTCAGATTGATTATAAAGGATTTTCATCTGCAACTTTACAATGGATTATTCTTTCACAGACCTGGATCTTTTAAAAAAAAAATTTGCACATTGCAGAAATTCAAACTCAAAGGTATTCTTTGGCAAAAATCTGCTGAGTAAAAAAATATCTAAATTTTCCCCATAATGGCATCTCATAGAAGTTATCAAAATTTATTTGTGATTATTTGCATACACAGGGACATATTTCAAAAAAATAATAAAATCATGTTGCCCAATAAAGGCTTAAGGGTCAAGATAAAATTGGTCTTTGCGCTATTTTGCCAATTTGTCTCACAGGTACTTTTTGCGGAATGGACAGGGTGCCATTTTCGATTGTTGGGTCAACAAACAGGATGCTTGTCGAGTTCAAAACCGGAGCCAATGCATCTCTGCTCAACACTGGCTTCAATTTTGAAGTTGCTCCTTTAATCGGATCACCGTTGATTGGATCATGGGAGATGCCTGGACGAAAAGCTGGCTTATGTAATTGGGTTTTCACATCAGAGGATTTGGAGAAATCTGGAGATTCTGAAGGAGTTTTCATGTCTCTAACACACTGGCATAAACCAGGCACGAGGTGCACTTATAAAATCACTGGAAGGGAGGATGAAGTTGTGAGGATGTACTTTCTGAGGTAAGAAGCATGCATGTATTATTATGCAGAAACATGACAGATTTGAATTTACTCAGTTAAAGGTCCAGTTTGTTCATAACTATCAGTGGAGTTTGAAAGGGCAGTTTCTGGACTTGAATACAGTATCTGAGTGAGAACTGAAGGAAAAAGAAACTATTTGTTGACAACTCTTTCAATTTCCTAGAGCAATCATGGGAGTTTCTAATGCTTTCAAATGTATGCTGTACAGGGAAATCTTGTTACAACAAAGCTAATGGGACAAGGGAAAATCTTTGTAGGATAACACAAAGGAACTGTATTTATGTGTTTCCCTTTATGAATTTATTTACAGCAAAGTTTTGGAGGTAAATGAGTACTCATTGTCCTGATACACTGTTTATACCCCTTAAACACACTGTCTCAACTCTGAGTATCTAAACGAAGTTCCTCTCTCACTACGTGAACCCTCACTCCCCGACGTCCCCGTGTGACCGAGTATAAAATCACCTCGTGTATATTCGAGACCGTTCTACCCATAGGTGGTTTAAACAGTAGTATAACAAATACAAATAAAAATGTTTCGCTATTGGTCATACATGGACCTAAAAAGTAATTTGCTGTGGGCACAGAAACTTCTTGTTTCAAGATTTGTTGTAACACAATTCTTCTGTACAGCATTTGGAAAACTTTCTCCTCAAGAATTGAAATTTCATGAAAAATCTCAACATCATCATAATTGAAAACAATTTCCAATGATCAGAAAACAGTTTCACTAAAAAATCATCAGATTTGGAGAATTGAAACCTGGGGGTCTGAAAAAAATATGTTCATATTGCTATCCATCAATCCATCAAAAAGGAAAATGGAGGACTGACATAATTTATGAAGCAACTACTTTGCTTCTTTCAGTAAAAAGTATGAGATGTTATTTTCCTTACAGTCTGAGGATTGGGATGACAAATGCCCCCATCATACCACCCATGGGCCAATGTACAGAGTCCCTGACCATATATGACTCTGACACAGCAGACCCACCCAAGTTGGTCAAAACATTCTGCAACTCCTTTTCAGTGCCCTTGGAAAAAGTGGACTTTGTATCCACTCATAATTCCCTGTTTGTGGAATTTGAGAGTCTGGTGGGGAGTTATGAAGGCAGCTCCATTGACTTCTGGGCACACTATGACTTCTTCAACAATTCCCACTATGGCAACCCTGTGCATGGGACTCTGTGTGATGAAATTTTCCAGGAGTCCAGAATGGGCAATGGGGAATTTGGTTCTCCCATCAATACTTTGGTGTATACTCATGGACCTGATGATGACAGCTCATTGATCACTTGCACACTCAATTTCCAGGTAGGCAATGAAAGATATTTCATGCTGCATTTACCTAAGTACCATTTGACCTTGAGTAAGATGCACTCAATCATCTTTAATAGACAATTTAAAAAACCTCTCCCAACCTCAATATTAAAATGCCAGCAATTGTGATATAATAATTAAAATACTCTTTTGTATGAATGAAAAGTGTTATAGACTCAAAAAAATGCTTTTATTGCTGTTCACCATTATTTCCAGTTACTATGCAAGCAAGTGACCTTGAGTAAGATCCAATCAATCAGCATCAAAAAACATTATTCCTAACTCAATTTTCCAATGCCAGCAAGTGTGATACAGTACCTAAAATACTCTTTTGCATGAATAAAAAAGTATTATAGACAAGTAACACATAGATTTTATTGCTGTTCATCATTATTTCCAGTTCAAATGCACACAAAAAAAAATGAATTTATCTTCCACCTGGGCTTAAGTTCAGAAATTGATCTCCCCTGTAATATTTTGAAATTATTTTTGGTCAAAATCAGGTGCTTGAAATGAGACTGGCATCTATACACTGTATTAAAAAATTTGCAGAAAATGTAGCACTTTGAATGCTATTTTTCATACAATTTATTTTGGAAACAAGGTGCACATGGTACTTGGGTGAATACAGTACTTAGCTCAAATTTCCTCCTCTTAATTATATTTTTGTTCCCAGTTGGATATTGGCCTGCGCAAAAGAATTGAGCTTCAGATTGACCAACTGGCCTTTGGCAAGTCTGACCTTCCATGTCCAGCAAGTGCCTCTGCTTGCTTGTCAGCCCCCAGGGACAAGATCTACATCAATGATGATGCCAATGAGAAAATCCTTTCCTGCTTGTGTGAAGAACACACCACAGCAAAACCCCCAATCTTCATTTACTCATCCGGCAGAAAACTGGAGCTGGTTTTCACAGTGAATGAAAAGCACGCGAGGGCAAATTATTTCCGACTCAATACCCCAGTGTTCCACGGCAAGTTTTCTTTTGTTCACGACTCCAAATGTGGACCTGAAACGTATCCACCAACTCCAGAAGGAAGATTAATCTTCCCCCAGTTTGCGGATCCCCAGGATATCGTGCTGTCAGATGCCCCAGACGAAGTGAGGGTCTGTGTCTGGGACATCCGTGTGAACCCCGAAAGGAACCTCTGGCTTCACTTCAACGAGATCAACTTGACCATCAATGATTGCGAAATCGAGGTTCTCAAAATTGAATTGCCGAGAAGTGAGGAATCCCTGGCAGTTTTCTGCAGGAATCGCACCACAGTGGACATGCCTGTGGTTCCAGTAGATGCACTCAAGTCGCACGGAGGAAGAGTGAATGTAATTTTTAAAACTCTGATGAGATCAAAATCGACTTTCAGTTTGTCATGGACTGAACTCTATCCCTACGGGATGGTTTCACAGAAAACTGAACAGTGAATGAGTCCTGCAAATAAATCTAATCAAACGATTGTTACATTTATTTGTGTGAATTTAAGCTGAAATAAAGGTAAGTACAATACTGTGTATACACTGTACAGGTAAAAGGTTGACTATCTCACAATTTATTTCCTTAAAGAAGCACCTTCAGATTTTTTATGGGGTTTTTAATTTCCAAACCCTGATACAGGGTGTCAAAAAAGTTTGTTTTAAGTACAGAATGCCAAATTTCAGCATTTACTCATATATACAGGGTGCACTAAAATAAGCAAACTGGTTTTTTAATGACAGTAGCTCATTTGAAAATTGAGCAACAGCAACAGAGTGTGGCAACATCCCAATGCTCAATTTTTCTCATTTTCAAGTCTTTTAAGCCCTCCTTGAGGATATGTGAACCCTCTTGGAGCAGCATGAAGTTTGTCGGTTGTATTACTGGCCCGGCACACAATTCATCCCTAAAAAGCTGTGAGGAACAGCAACTTTGTTGAAGGAGTTGCCCTGACATTTTTTTTTTCTCTTCAGGGAAGTTGTCATTCAAATGGCTTTTGCGACCATGACATGACACTTAGGACCATGAAAACACACATAACTTGAGAGGAAATTGAACCAGCTTTCCTTTGCTGTTTTTTTTCCTGTAGCTCAATTTGCTTCACTATCAAAAAATTGGTTCTCTTTTTTTGTCCACCCTGTACATTATACTAATATGAATCACAACAAATTAAAAAAAAATTTTTAATAGGACATCAAGATGTTTCAAACAGTTTGGAGTTTATATGGTTTATGGTATAGCCATGTGACCATTCACTGATTTCCATGAATAAAATTTGCATTGTACATACAACTTTGGTGGAACACCTTAACAACTTTCATTTAGTCAGGAAATGAGTTGAGAACCAACAACGTCTCATGAAACATTCCAAGAAAATCTCCAGGAATGCTTTATTTCTGCCACAGGATCAAAAGATAACAGTATTTCAATATTTTCCAGAAAAAAATTCGCAGAAAACTTCCGCCCTTGAAGCACATCTGTCCCTTCAATACAGTAGCCTTCACTGGTTTTCTGGAGTGCCAAAATTTGCGCTGAATTCAGATTCTTCAATGAAACTTTAAGCTTTGAGAGTGTCGTGGAAGGGGAACTCGGGATGATCAACAATCCTGTATAATAGAAAGTAAAAAGCGGAGTCAAAAACTAGGCCATCGATTCAAAAATTAAATTTTATGGAAACACTAGATAATGCGCATCAAAATTTTGGAAAAAAAATATCAACACAAATATATATGATGCAATATCTATTTATCTCAAAATCTTAGGTATAAGACAACACTAGAATTTTGTTAACAAAAAATTTGAAAAAAGAAGACATAAAAACAATCTTTTGAACTCTTGTCTCATAAAACTCCAACAAATTCTGAATTAAATTGCAAAAAGGACTGAAAACCAACTGCATTCATCTTTTATAAAGGCTAAATTCAGATTTTCCTTTCAGATAGCTTCTGAACAATTACATTTTAAATATCAGTCAGGGATTTTCAGCCAATTTACTCAATTTTAACATACACCAGAAAATAATTTTTATGAGAATTAACTTTATAGGTACTGTAAATATCCGATGCGCACGCCATTTTCTTCCCTTTCAATATTTGCAAACATAATGCGCATGCGGCAGAGAAATAAATGCGATATGCAGTATGTAAAAATAATTGACTCACCCCTTGAAAATATCCACCATGGTGAAACCACGAGCTTTCGGCCCTTTGTCCAGTGCTTTCATTGAAGCCATCTCATCAGCAGACAATTCAAAATCGAAAACCTTAAGTATACGAATATAGAAACAAAAATGATGCATGAAAATACTGTATCTAGAATTTTTTTTCTTCAACGGAAAACTCACTTCAGAATTTGACTTGATCCTCGCAGGTGTTACGGACTTGGGGATCACAGCAATGCCCGATTGCATGATGAAACGCAGGAGGATTTGAGCAGGTGACTTGCTATGCTTTTCAGCAATTTCCACAACAACCGGATTTTCCATCAAATCTGGGATTTCTCTGCGAGAAAAATTGAGTTTTACATGAGTATTTTATACAAGGTGGTTCCAAAAAAAAGTAAAACAATCTTCAAACCCGCATTTGCTAGAACAACGTTCCCTGTACTGTATTAACTAAGAGGCTTAAAAAATATTGGTCAAGAAAAAAAATTGGGGGGTTCTTTTTTACGCCAGGGGTACGCGGGAATGGGACAGGATCACAAGAAATTGGCCATCTTGACAAAAGAAATTTAAAACAATACCTCAGTGAACCCTGAAATATTGTACAACTCTGAACAACAAGGTATGTTTTCCAGGCAGGTACCTTCAAAATATTCAAATGATTGCAAAAAATGGAGGAATTCTCTTGACAAAAATGTGAAATAATCCTGGTCAAAGTTACTCTTTTCAATCAAATATCAGCGCTGTTCCTTATACAGTATGCATATATACATATATATATATATACAGTTGAACCTCTCTAAGTCAAATTTCAAGGGACCTGCAAAAAAATTTGACTTACGGAGGTCAGGAATTTTATAGGTAGGAAAAAAGCCCTTTTTTCTGGAAAACTTGGAAAAATTTAAATGGAGATATTCTAAAGCTTAAATGGCTTCTTAAATGAGTTGAAAGGCTGCTGAACTCGGAGGCAGGGGTTTATTTATACAATTAAGTCTTTCACTTCCTTTAAAACATTAAAACACATAAGTTTCTGTTTTATTGCTTTTTTTATTTATTTTTTGAAGAAAATAATGGCCAACAGGTCTAAGAAAATTCGACTTACAGAGGTTGGAGGGGAAAAGCCTTTGACCTAGGGAGGTTTTCTATCTATTGTTTCTAAGGGGATTCAGAGGGGATCTTAAAAAAAATTTGACTTTTGACTTAGGGAGGTTCAAGTTATTGAGGTTCACCTGCATATACTGTATATGAACTCACGCTTTTGGAAGTCCCAGAGCCTCATGAAAATCTACTCTTCCTGGAGAACCCAGAGTTGCATAACTGGTCACAGTGATCTTATTGTCCGCACAAAACTTGACCAATTCCGGTTGCTGAAGATACGCATGAATTTCAACCTGGTTGTTTGCCGGCGGAATTTTGCAGTTGTCCAGAATTCGCTGCAATTGCTGGATATTGAAGTTACTGACACCGATGGCCTTTGCTCTGCCTGCTTCAAACTGCTCTTCCATGGCCTGTGAAACGAGGATGACAAATACTCAAGGAATATCTCAATATTTCTTTCCACAAATGGAAGAGAAACAGCACTTATTTTGACACTAGTACGTGTAATAGGTTCGATTCATTGATTTTAAGAAGAAAAACTCAAAATGAAGTACAGAAAACGCCTCGGGACCAAGAAAAATAATACGGAAAAATTCGCGTAACCGAGATTGCATTACAAAATAGTGACATCTTCCTCAAAAATCGGACGTTCATTCATACAAACTTGATTTACTGATTTGTTGACAATCATCGTACATTTATGAAGAAACCACGAAGTTAATGAAATTTGAAAAGCTTCTCCACTATAAATTGAATTTTCGTCCACAAAGTTCGAAATCCATAGGAAACATTTTAGTGGAATTTAATGTCGAGAAAAATATTTTAGTTATAAAAATTTTAATTATATATGATTTTCATTATTGTTATCCTCTTCAAATACTGTATCATTAAAAAACGAAGCATACTTGCCTTCCACAACTTGACATGATCACTGTCGGGATCAAACAACGCCATACCCGTTTCTTTGTCTGTAGGCAACAAGTCATCTTCGCTCAGTTCAACCAGTCCAACTGGCATGTGCACCAAGTACAAATCGACGTAATCCAATCCAAGGCTGGCCAATTCTTTCTTCAAGTATTTCTCAACGGATTCCGGTCTGTTTGCAGTGTTTGGAAGCTGGGAAAAAGGATTGTAATTTTTTGTTTGTTTCAACTGTTATCTAAAATAAAGAAAATACTGTACTGTATGAGTATAAAAAAATTTCGATTTCTTAGTTGGCCTGGCTCATTTTTAGCCCCCTGAGACATGGGTGGAGAACTCTGGCTGTAAATGGAAAGTGTTCACTAATCATCACGCAGTAAATTTAAAAAATGTTTTCCATCTTGAGATAAAAAATCCCAGAACTTGAAAAAATTACGGGTTACGTAATTATTTTATTTTTACAATCCGGTCTACCCGAAAAATGTCAGAGGTCGCGTCCAGAAACTGTGACAACCGTCGTATCAGTTTAAAATTAATAGAGTAATCGTGCACAAATCTTGATCTACCTTCGTGGTGATGAAGATGTCCTCTCTCTTGAGCTTTCCAGAGTCGAAGTGTTTCTTGAGAACTTTCCCGACAAGAGCCTCATTTCCATATACGTAAGCGGTGTCAATCAGCCGATACCCGTTTTCCAGGGCGCAGTCAATCGCAGCTTCCGCACTTTCATCCCTGCTCTGCTCAAATACATGAATATTTATAAATTATAACCGCGGTCGTCTGATAAAAACGACCCGACAGTACTGACGAAAAAATAAACCAAATGACATATGCTGCATATTGATAGACAACAGCATCCAAAAATAATGCAACATTTGAATACTTTCGACCCTGGGAAGCGTGCGGAGCCTTTATTTGTTCATAGCCCGAATTTGCAAGCGAAAAAAATTCTGGAACGCGATCAGCACAAAAAATTCCAAGTACAGTATTCCCGATCTTCCACAATGGAAACAAGTTTTACTTTATTGAGTGCTCCATAACCTCAGAGGATGCAGAACATTTTCCTGAATTTTCTGCAATAAGATTTATATCTACATCGGGAAGATGAATTAATAACCTACTTGAACACATTTTCTCTCGCCAAAAAGAGAATAATGACCCGAAAATGCATGCAAAAAATCAACCGAGATTTTCAAATAAATGCCGAAAGTAAATCAGACTTTTCTTCATTCACAAAAACAACTCATGAAGGACTGGACAAGGAGTGATTTGTAATTTTCAAGAATTGACCGATGCGTATATACAGGTTAAAATACGGACATTACAAGTTTGCAACAACATTCATTTGCACGCTGATGAAATGTTTTCTTGGCGAAATTAAAACTATTCACAACGAATGATAATTGACAATGCTTAGTAACAGCTCCACTCATTTCCGCTGAGTACAATATACGGTAAATCACTTATCTATGCATAAGTCGAAGTAGGACATTATTCAAAATAACCCTTTTTATTTAACGCATCACTGTTAGGTTTTCTAAAATTCAGTTTATACTGTATATATCAGCAAAAAATTTAGATAAATAGATCGTGGAATGCAAAGAAATCGGGAGAAAACGTACCTGCCAAGTTCCAAGGCCAAAAATGGGCATCTTCGTGCCACTGTTCAACTCAAGGTCACTCAAGGCCATGTTTCAATAATACCGAGTTTCTTACCCAGACTTTTAAACAAGCAAATTGAAAATGGCACTGGAAAACACTGCACCTGAAAAACGTCAACAGACGGTGGCAATTGGATCATATGTCATGGAATCATACCAGATAAGTATAGACATTTCAAAGTGCTCAATATAAAGGCGTCAACGAGCGAAAATCTCGAAGAAAATTGAAGATACGAGATATACATTAGAAATTGTTACAATGGATGGAACAAAACTTTCGACAAAATCGAAACTTCTTTTAAATTTGAGCCTGCAACTTTTGGCGTCGAACATTTGTTTCGACAATAAGTTTTAAAATTGTAAATATGCTTCAGAACTTGGCATATAAGCATCCGGGTGAGGCATGTAATTCATTTGCAGAATGAAACGCAATTCGAACTCCGCAGCATTCCTCAATTTATGACGCCGAAAATGTTGATACGGGAAGTACTGTGCTTCATCTTACTTTTTGAAAATTACATCATCGAACAAGGAAAGCAGAAAACAGACAAAAGGTACTAACCAATGTGTTTAAAAGCACGAAAAACTATTTATCAAACGCACTTAAAACAACAAAGACAAAGAAAACTTAGAATACAGCAATATTGAAAATCATCAGCTCGCGCGTCGCGTCTCACAATTTTCTCCGACACTGCATGAAATCAATCATTGATGAAAACTCAAAAATCATCACCTCTCGCAACACCAGCACTAGACCATTCGCAAATGATGACGAGCTTTTGTACAAAGAAGAACTTGTTCACAACACGATAAAAAAAACCCTGACTGCGCCGACTCATCGTATCAATGAGCTTGAAACAACGCGAGACTAAACTTCCAAAACGAGATACACGTCGATATTCTCGTTTCGATGACGACGACATACAGATAAACCCCATTCCGCAAGACAAAATCAATCTCAACAAAATTAAGTCACTTATAGAAAGGGATCAACATTTGAAACAGGAACCTCTGAATGGCTCGACACAAAGCACATAATGCGCTTATCGACGCGGAACCGCAGAGCACACAAAAGGTGCCACGTAATGAAAAAGGGACACAAACTTGACGTTGTTCCCAAGACTGGAGTGACCTTCACACACACACACAACGCGGAAGTTGCTCACCAACGGTTACAACTTGAGGTTAATAAGGGAGTGCTCACGACGCTCGAACGCGTCCAAGCAGCTTCTCCAGTGTCTAAAAGAAAATGACGACGAGGAAGCAAATCTGGCAGCATCAGAGAGAAGTGATAGAAAATGCCTAGACCAGGGGGAATAAAAAAGATGCGACGACCGATTCATTTCCGTTGCACGAAGTTAGATGAACTGATCAATGACGGCGCGGTGAGAAAATGAGGCGAAAAAAAAAACAGCGACAGAAAACGGAAGAATTTGAATGAAAATACTGTACAGTCAAACCTTTTCAAGCTTAAATTAATTCAGGACCAGAAATATTCGATTCAAGGATGCTTCTTTAGTTAACAAAACAAGCATTTTCTTTGGGGGAGGGGCGTGGAAAGAATTTTAAAAAATTATGAGGAAATTGTGACTGCTGGTGATATTCTGGGCCTTAAATTATGTTTTAATTGAGTTGACAGGATGCTGAACTTGGAAACATGGGCTCATTTTCCAAATTAATCTTGCATTTCATTGCAAAGCAAATCAAGTTACATTTTTATTGTTTTTATCTTTCCCGTATAAAAAAAAATATAGCCAAAAGGTCTGCAGAAAATTCGATTGAGGAAGAGAAAGCCTTTGAGCTAAGGAGACTTCTATGCAGTGTTTCTAAGGGAAATTCAGAACGGACTTCAAAAAATTGCGTGGGGAGGTTAATCCGAGTTATGAAGTTTCAATAGTACAATGAAAAATAATTTCTACGGCCGAAGCTATCAAGAACAAATACACGCGATCACGTCATGATCCGATCAAGTCCATCAATCGACATCGTTTGTAACACATGTACGCACGAAAAAAAAAACAAGGAACACGTATAAAACTACGAAACAAAGTATGAATAATGAGATGCGTACAAGAACGGTTCTACTCAACAAATTAGGATATCACATCATTCCTGGACTACTAAATCATGCAACTCACACGTTTTTGTCTTCTATCAAGGGATCATGTGGAGAATGAAATTTTTGACTGATTTACCAGGTAGATGTCACTTCTACTCAACAAAGATTCATTTATTCAACACTCAAAAAGTGGCACTTCTGAAACTTATTAGCACAATTTTGTGCCACAGGCAAAACAAAATGAAACACCCAGCAGTAGCCAAAGTTAGGAAAACTCCCAAATTTTTCCTCAATCCTAGGGAAACTTTTTCATCACAACAAAACAGTTACTGCAAGTTGGGTTACTTTTTCCTGCATTCCTGTGCATGGTAGGATTACCATTTAGGGATTATGAAAACAATGATTTTCCCTTTCCTGAATTTTGCCCCAACTTTGGCTAATCTGCCAAATCTGCATTTTGGTGACCTGCAGTCAAACCAAAATGCAGAAGGTGACCTTTTGGTCAAACCAAAAACATGCAAAAATTTCCCAGCACTATACCACACAATGGAAAAGAATCTGCCACCATGTCAAAGGTTAAGTTGCTATACATTTTCAAGCTCCAATTTATAGCGTACTAAATGCTTGTGTCATTTTAAATCAAGTCATCCTGCAAAATTGAAGACTGGACTTGTATCCATGCATGCTCAATTTCTTGATGTCATGCACAGCTCTCCTATGAGGAACTACATGAATGAAACCATACACAAGCATGGACTCTAAAACATTTTGTTTACAAAAATTTTTTGCTCCATAATGCATTTCTCTTGGTCCTATAGGACTAACAGGTATCCCTGTATCCATACTACAGAGGTTCTCTCACTTCTCTGGAACAAAATTCTCTCTACAACAAATTTCGAGCTCTGCCATAACAAGTCCATCTCTAGTTTTGATGCACTTCATATTTCCAGAATCCAAAATTTGTCAGCATCCAAATAATACTAGCTCCATATATCTTGGTTTTACCTTTTTGATGGGTTGGAGGACGGAATTGGACTATTAATAAATGTTCCATTCCTTATTATCTTCCGTTGCAACGGCCTTTTCCCTGACGGACATTCTTTCATCAGTAGAAATTTCACATCTGTTTCTGTCACGTTCCAACAGCTATATATAAACAGAAGATTAGCTAAAACAGAAAGTCAACATGAGTCCAAAACTTGAAGAGAACTCTGCATGCTCGGAGTTGACAACTTTTTTGTATTATCAGCGTAAATCGGTACAGAACAAAATCCTCCACCACATCCGACGAGTATATAAATAAAAGAAGAATAAACGGGTCTCTCTCATTCTTTCACCATATCTGCAAGTTGACCACTATCCCGCAATCGCGCGAGTGCATTCCCACCACCGATGAACTTCCCATTCACGAATACTTTCGGCACCTTCACCCGAATCAAGAGGAGAATCATGCAAAGTTACTAATTTTAGCAAGCGATCAATCAGTCACCGTTGGTTTCTTTCTCGTCATCCGCGCGAGTAATGTTAGGATTACCGGAGCGTCTTTTTCCGAGGGAACATTCACCAGTTTGTAGTCTGTGCATCCCACGCTTTCCAAAGCCTACAAATCGAAGGCATGAATGGGATTATAACGGGTTTGACCACAGTCTTATACGACTACCATGGTATGTAATATACTCAGCATTGATCAAAAATGTGACACCTACTCAAACGGGAAATTATAGTTACAATGCGATGTTGTGAACGACTGCAGAGAAATGCTGTCTCTTAGCTTAAATTCAAATTAAATTGACTTTGTAACCATCAACTTGTCATTTGACAAACACGAGTAACTAAAAATTTGTTAGACGGACGCTTTCTTAGATTTAATGTTGAATACCCGTTGTTCTTGTACCTGAATCAAGTCATTGCTTCACATTCAGATGCTTTCATTGCATTGATTATGAAAAATTTCAAGCCAATGACAAAAATGTATCACGGAAAAAATTGCGCAGAGGAAATGCTCCAGATTTTTTTAGTTTGCGTCCATTTTATCTTCCTAGTTCAGATCGTTACTTCCTGTTCAAATGAATTTGATAGCTATCGATTATAGAAGGGTATGCAACATTTCACGATAAATATTGAATAAGACAATCGGTATTCTCTAGCAAGTTATCACACACATTAACTCACGTAAATGGACGTCGAATTTCATCAAGTTAATTTTCGTCATTGGAAGTATAAATAGGGTATATTTTAATCTTAAGGTCATATAAACGTCCGATGAACAAACATTCTTAGCTTTCAAGCAATACGGACATCCCGGGGCTGCAAAAACCACGATACGGTTCTCCCCCAGCCAAGTGTTTATCTTTTCCTGCGTTTTCTGCACAGCCTCTTTGTTACTCATAACTGATGACATTCTAGGAGACACGCGAAAGCTTTTCAAGTTCCCCAGAAACGAAGAAACCGAATCGAGTCCCCAAATGTCACTACGTCCATTGGTTCCTCGGTAAAATCTCGCCAACGTCCAGATTCCTCCAGTTTGCGCGATCGGACGAACGCGGCTCAACAGGAAAACCCGACGAAATGCGCCGATTGCCGCAAAACTTTCAAAATGTTCAAAACCAAAAGATGAAGGCAATAAAACCTGCGAATATATGAAACAAGCGAATGATTCAATCCGCTACTTACGCGTACTGCCGCACCATTTTCTTGCATCGCAGTGAAAATAGATATAAATGAATAAATTAATGAGTGTCGCTGATAACTCCAGTGAAGCTTTATTCATTCAAGCAATGAAAAATAAACTGCAAAAAACCTTTCCATGATCACTGACTCAGCATGGCCATTACATTACATTAACGATGGCTATAAGCAGGACATACGTATTGTATGTCGAATCACCGAATTCAAGTTCTACGCGTTAATTGGACTCGAAATTCAAGTCAAACCAACACCGTTCAAACATATTCAATTTAACACCTCCATTTCTTCGGCCGATTTAATTTCAAAAGCAAATACAACGTAAAATGAAATTCCTACACATTTATCAAGTGAAGCGAAAAACTGAGGGTTTGTCTCAATTTCTTCCGAATGAGACAGAAAATTATTATCCAACAAATGTCAGATCCTGTACGAAGAAAGATAAGCAGTTTAATATCAGTAATATACATACGATAGATGGAATCATGAGGCCTGACTAAAAAAAAAAAAAGGATGCCAAATATACGCAAAAAAGCTTCACTGAAAATCCCGATTTCCGATCCATTACGCGAGTGAAATGTGCTTCATCCGTTGATTAACGATGTTTCAAGTACAGTATCTCACGCTTTCAACCTGAATTTCGTGATCAACGTGTGCTTGAACTTCTATGAGAGTTTCGGCATTTCAGTCACCGATGTTTATGCTTTCACCATCTGTGCCAACTGACCGTTCTTCCTGAGAGCAACGGTGTCGTCACCTCCTCCGATGCATTTTCCGTCGATAAAAACCCTTGGGACCTGGAAAATAAATCAGAAACCATGAATGGGCGACCTTTGGAAGGATGATATAAAATGGTTAAAGTTTATCCATTCGACAAAGAATCAGATCAAATTTACGGAAGAGCAAGTATCGGACCACGTCGTCTCGAAAACCCAAGAGCAAGCACAAAAAAGATGAGGTAACAGGAAATATTCACAGCCAAATCAAACCTCACCTGGCATAAAACTGAAATAGCCTCACCAAAACTTTTACGCGAATAAGTTACTGTTCTGACACAGAAATTGCTTGTTCTTGCTCTTCGATTGTGAAACCCCATCTTACCGAAGATGCCCCCGTCATCTTGCCCAAAATGGATTGCATCAAGGACGGATTTTCTTCCTCCTGTAACTCAATCCAAAGAGAGTCGTTGTACCCAATCTCCTTGAAAGCCTGAGAAAAAGAATGAAGAACACGTATAAGCACGCCACATCTTTTCTTGGAAAAAGCGACTTACATCACGAGCCATGTGACAATACGGGCAATACCCTTTGGCAAAAATCACGACTTTATTCTTCTTGATCAGCTCATCGATCCTCGCAGTGGTTTTCTCCACTGCTTCGGGATTCTTGCTATCACCGTTGCCCATCATGACCAAAAAGTTAAACCGCCGAAAGCTACACGCAGGCAAATTCAACCGCGTCACTTCTACAGCTAATCTGTTCGAAAATCGCCAAAACTTCATCATCAGCACGAGACCGCCGACGTCTTACAAGTAAGAAAACGAGTTACAAAACTGGAGAAAAAAAAAGCGTCCTGCGGGGAAATTCCAACTGCCACCAAAATTTGCTTTGTTTCCACTGCATTTGCTATCTCGCAACAACGAAAAAACATACCGAATTTACATTCGAGAGACGGGACGAGAGCAATAAAGCAAACGCGGGTTTCGTCACGTCCTCGATCACGCAAAAGGCGCTTTTTCTCCGAACGTCAAGGGCTGATAACGGATACAGTGGATCAGGTCATTTGGAAAAGCGGATACACCCAGGAAAGATTCCGGCATGTATTTAACCCATACATGTCGGTCTCATTGTGACATCCCAGAAATATGACATTCAAAAAAAAGCAAACCCAAGTCTAGATGATCGAAAATAATCACCGATGGTACGATAATTTCAGGATAATGAAGAAAAGCATGAAACATCAACACATTCTGATCGAATGAAAAAGTGAATTTCATTGATTAATTCTCTTTGATATTTTCAGTGAGAAACAGAAAAATTTGTAATTTTAAAACTGCGACATTACAAAAATCTGAAAATTCTGTAGCTTTAATCTACTGTATTTTGCAGTAACTTCAAATTTAGGTTCCAAACCTTCACACTTCTCATTTGAATTCCGCCGTTTTGGAAGTAAACCGAAATGTTCTTGGCAACCAAGAATGAGAAAATTATTTACAAATCATTGGCAAATTCCTAAGCCTCATTCAGGGACACCGGAGCTTATGACTGATATACTCTTCAAATTTTCATCAATTATATACGCGATGGACAAAATTTTCAACTGATGTAAAAACTGCGCAATTTCCAACCGAATACAACGAGGGGCTGGATTTAGATTCCAACAAAATTATACATTCAGGATCTTATTTTTAAAATTTTCTTTCAACGATTTTGCAATTTTGTTAAAGCCTATTTTTAAATCGGAAGAAATTGATCTGATTTCCTTATAATAATCACTAGCATCTTTCATGGGAAGGAGTGTCTCATTTTTAGCGAAACACGGCGCTGAGGTTCAAATATAACTCGTTAATTGGCATGAACGCGGAATTTCGAGATTTTAGTGAGCATTTCAATCAAAGTTACAGATGTTCAGCAACAAAAAACGCGAAAAGAAAACAAACACGCGGCGTGACGAAGAAGACGAAGGCACATCTTTCCTACGCACATGACCATAAAGAAACGACGCAAAAGTTTCCGACTCAACGCATCACAACACGATTTCTCAGATTCTATCTCGTTCGTTTTTTTCAAATTATTAAACCCACCGTAATTGGAGGTGTCCGGACAGACAATGACGCACCAAAGGAAACCCGAAAAACCAAATATTTCTGAGCGTTGACCAGAAAGATGCATTTCTATGAAATTGACAATCCCAGGGACAGAGACTCACTCCAAATAGGGGAAAGCCAAGCCTCCAGAAACCGCCCACATAATTCCAGCTACAAAGGGTCATTCAAGAAGGTCTAGGGTATGTCAAGTGTGGAAATAAAATCCTCGCAGCATTTTTTGTTTTGGACATAATGAAAATTTAGAGCATTCTTTGACATTCCACGGCATATGTTCGACAACTCGATTTGTATTTCCTTGCTTTTCCAAAACAAAACAAATTACACATCAATTTTGTAATTTCAACTATAACAGGACTGTTAAGATTCAAGAAATAAATTATCGTAATGTTTTGATAACGCAGGAAACTTACTCATATTCTTGACGAGGGATACGATTTTCCGAATTTCAAGTCAAGATAGGAAAAATTAGGCGCATCGTCAGACACACTGAAATATTCATCTTATAATGCTTCAAGCGAAATCACGAATTTAACGCTGAATGATCAAGACGAACGAATTTAATCCTTCATTTAGTGTCTTCAAGGAAGAGATTTTTCACTGCAATTTTCCGAAAAGCCTTCGGTGCAGAGAAAGAAGGCTTAGTTCGCAACAGCTGCCATTGGTGCAATCGAAGCGTTAAGCCTCAACACTGTCCCGGTTCCTGCGACGAAAAAAACTTCCGATTATATGCAAACGCGCATAACTTTGAATTCAGCTGTTGACTCTTATCCTCACGCATATAAAAATGTGAGACGCGCATTCCGACTGAATAAACGGATATCTGCAGTCGCTATGCGGAGGACGCGAACACTCGGGAATCAATTCCCCACATGCTGCAACTTCGGGGCACATCTTTTCTCTCCCTGGTTCCTTTCCACGGGTTCTCTTTCTTTTTTTTTCCAATCTCCGGTGTTGTGATGAAATTTGCTTGAAATTCTCTGCGGGAATCTCGGATTCAGCTTGCAATTAAGGGCGTCATTTCGACAGGAATGTTCGTCATTCGCGAAAGCCATAACGTGCTCGCAGACATGTGCAAAACCTTCCAGAACACACTGGAGGTCAGCAGCGACGGTACGTAGAAAACTTTCCGTCAGTGTATATTTCTGTTTAAAGAAACTCTTCGCTTGTATAGATGAGGAAACCGAAACAATCGTTGAGCAAATGGAAGAAACGATCTACTCACATTTTCCGATTTCGCATCACCTCCTGTTCAATAATCCCTACGCGATCATCAAGAACTTGCCCATTCTAAGTCCGGAAATGCGGGCGAAAACTCCAGCTTTGCCATTGAAAACACGATCGACTCCTGCTTTCTCACTCGTCGTGGATCTCGTAAGTAGAATCAAAATCGCAACAACAAAAATGATCCAAAAACTAGATGTTTTGACCAAACGCAGGATGAAACACTGGTTCATTGTAGCCTGGAAAATTCTGAAGATGCGTCCATGTCATTCCACATGCGGTTCGATGATGGGAAAACTCGGGAGGTATTTGTGCAAACACGGCCGCATTACAAGTGCTTCTTAGAAACAGTGTCCAAGATGTTTGAAGTCATTGTGTTCACAGCCTCTGAGCGCAGCTACGCCGACAAGCTCATCAACATGATCGACCCCAACCGACGCTTGATCAAGTGAGTTTCTCACACTTCAGCAAGGCATGTCCAAAACTTATTGTGCAGTAGAGAATTTCCGAGCAAAAGTTTTACGTACGTTTTGACGCATGCAAAACTTTAGAAATGCGCAGAAAGTTCACCTCAGACAATGATACTTTCTAATAAGAACACCCGAGGGACCAAGAACTTTTTTCATACATTACAGAGTTAGTATGGCAGAGGAGCTGCTTGCACACGAAAAAAAAATCAACCGAGGCAAGTTTCAACAAGTTTAATTCTACGAAGTCAATTTTCCTTTCATTAAACGAAATCCACCAGTCCAAAAACGTGGGGATGGAAACAAACATCTTCTTTTTCCTTATTAGATGGTATAAGTAAATATTTTCTCGAAGAAATTCTGAAGGAAGTTTCAAATTTTCGGAACCATCAAGAGAATCTTTGCTTGCAGAAAATGTCTCGTTGAAAAAAATTGAATAACAAGCTAAAAGTACAGTACAGCACATAATTGTTCGCAATATAAAAACTACCATCGCATTAAAAGAGTCTCATAGCATATCACGCACAAAGACATCGAAAATTACGGTGTTCATGAATAAACGAAAAAACCTGAAAATTTCAAAAATATCGTGAGACCTTTCAGTACTGCGAACTCTTCGGCAAGCTTGGCAGAAAGTGATTACAGAATTCCGGATTTCTCCCATTATTTAACGCTGACAAAATTTGAAGATCTAAGCATACAAAAATAAAAACAACGAACAAAAGAGACGTGTTTACAGGCAGCTTCCAGATTTTCAACGAAGAAGAATGCACTTCGTTTCATCAAGATTAATGAAAGCTTCAAAATAAAAATATTTTAGACCTTCAAAAAGACCGTATTCACGCAAATTTTATGCTCCATCGATTCATTGTCACCCGATTCACAGTAATTTGAACTACGGCGGGGAAAAAAGGCAAACAAATGTTCAATGGCGACACCAAGTTTCCTTTAATAAAAAAAATATTGAAATCAGAGCCTGTAAACCCGTAAAATTGAAATAATATATTAGGAATTTAGGATTGATCAACGAAAATACAGTACCCGATGTAAGAATATGTTCGCTGGCGTCTCACACTTGATATTTGAATTTTCAGATTACTGCACTTCGTTCGAATCATAGCTTTCAAATTACCCTCAAAGGCTAAAATGCGGTCAGTAGGTTCATGTCATATTAATTGTATTGGGTGCGAATATCTGGACCATCCCATGAAGCAGCAATTTGCACGGGAAATTAGACGCAATTAATTCTTGGGCGTCTCGTATTTACGTAAATGCGGCATTTCCGAATGGCTCGTTTAAATGAGGGTCGAAGAGAGTATTTTCTCTCGGGATCTGATAAAATTCAAAGAATTCAAACGTGACTTCCCGATTTCTTAAAAAAAAAAAAAAAACAGGGATATCGTAGCGCTACACTCAGTTAAAAATTATCTCTTTCGACTGGATACCGGGTTGGTCAAGCACATTCAAAAAGATTTCTTTCCCTCGGCGTTTTCATAGGTACAGACTGTTCCGCGAGCACTGTTTGAACGTGAACGGAAATTATGTCAAAGATTTGACAATTCTTGGCCGAGACTTGCGAAGAACCATAATCATCGACAACTCTCCAGTGGCATTCGGTTATATAGGTACAGACTGTTCCGCGAGCACTGTTTGAACGTGAACGGAAATTATGTCAAAGATTTGACAATTCTTGGCCGAGACTTGCGAAGAACCATAATCATCGACAACTCTCCAGTGGCATTCGGTTACCAACTCGACAATGGGATCCCGATCGACAGCTGGTACGCTGACCGCGATGACAGAGAACTCATCAAATTACTGCCATTCTTGGAATATGCAGTGACTGTGGTAAGTCAAATTTATCAATTATCTTGAACCTTACTTTCTCCTGACCTTAGACATTCTTGAACGTTTCAGGACGATGTCAGGCCATGCATAAGGACAAAATACAAGCTTTGGTCTAAGCTTGAAGATTACTATGCTTGAAAGAAAGGTGGCTTGAGAAGAACTACAGTACTTCAAGCATGAACTTGCCAAGATGAAAATCAGGGCGCCATCAAGTGGATACCTGAAGAGAAGACAGACTTCACGGTTGCGAACAAAGCCAAAATTTATCCTCAGAGTCTGATTTTCGATCGATTGTCTTTTTTTTCGATAGCCATATTCCTGCAGCCAGGACGAGTATAAATAAAATGAAAATTTAAGGTTTTCATCATGGTGTCCAGACCGATTTCCGCGTTACTGCATTTTACCGATTAAACTTGTTAAATCATAAAAGAAAAAAGAGTGCAATACCAGAAGAGCAGGAGTAAAAATGCAACAACCAAACTTAAGATTACAAGACTGGCTGTTTCGAAGCATCCTCTTTCTCGAACTTTTTTGATAACTCTTCTGATGTGCATTCGGAGGACGAATATTTTTTTTTTTCAACGGAAGAATTCATCGCTCTCATTCAAGCTACGAAGGCTGCCATTATAACACAGTCGGGTGCTTCACATTACATTTTAATGAGAGGTAACATCCAGAAATGTGCTTCACTCACAAATACTGGTCTACACATCCGGAACTACAAGCCAGGGAAAAATAAAACTTGATCGACATTTCCTCATTCGGTGAACGACGATTATCGAAATTAGCAGCAGTTCACGGGGGGTAAAAATCCCAGTGCTTTCAACGGTAACGTAGTTCGATCGAGACTTGTAACTTCAAATTTTTTAGCTTGAATTTTATGCTATTCCTCGAAACACGACAAGCATTCTTGACATAAAAAAAGAATCCTCGAGAGAATCTTTTCACGGCGTATCCAGGCGATTAAATTCTTTGGATCCTATTTCAACAACTTATTTTACACAAAATAAAAGAAAGGATGCGCACAGAAAAAAAAAAGAAAACTAAACGCAGAGAAAGCTTCTTGTCCGCAGAAGCTCCCCGTTTCTCAGCAGTTTTCTCGAGCGCATTTCGCAATTAAATGCAGAATTCAGCAAAAACACAAAAAAGAGGATTGTTCTTCGAGGGAAAATCATCCGGGCCCATCGCCATCCACAACACATCCAACTGTTATCCATCATTCGAAGAAATATCACAGCAAACAAACAAACTCTAAGGGGCATCACCGGGAAGGCGATCGGCGGCCTTCGCGCCGCCATCCACAGTGCGAACCTCGAAACTCGGATCGTCCTCCGCCCCGGCTTCATTCTCGGACGCACTCGATTCATCACCGTTTTGGCTCGAATTACAGCTATGATCCTCCTCAGCCTGAAGAAAATTATCAGAAAGAAAATATAAATTACAATTCTAATGTTTTTACTGAGGTAAATTCGGCAGGTCATGGTGATGCGGCACATCCGATTTTTCTGCCTGAATTTTTGTGTTTCCATTCAGTCCTGAAGTCGGACACGCTCGAAGCATTTTTCTAGATTTTACTTGAATTTACACGGTAAAATCTCGACATAACAAATTATTGGGTACAAGCTTACAAGAGTTACAACGAAGTCATTTTCCGGTCCTTGCTCAATAGCAATAACGTTATTCAAATTGCTTTCCAACAAATTCAGCCTTATACGTTAATACGTTATAACGAATGTTTTTTCCTGGTCCCAACACCTTCGATGCAACGAGATTCAACTGTACGTTTACTAAAGTAACTTACAATATTCCGTCAATAATGAAGCTTGACAAAAAATACAGCCTTTAAATTGAATTTTACTCGCAGTCTTGATTCCTAAAACTGATTTTAAAATTACAACTGAACTTAAATTACTTACCTTACTACTGCATATAGCAGAATTTCGTAACGAAGAATCCCAACATAAGAAATAATAGATTACAACGAATTCGCTTTCAGGTCCACATCCAATAGCTACATCATTCGATTTTCTTTATAACAAATTGTTATTTAAGACAAAGCTACAGTATTTCACTGGTCCCAATGGCTTCTTTGTAACGTGATTTTACTGTATTTTCACATTAACAAATCTCAAGTACAGCTTGATCATTTGAACATTTTCAAAAAACTCAGCATTATAGAGCTAATAAGTACTGTAAATTATCTGGAGTCAAAGTTTGGATAAGAACTGTAAGGTTACATATAACATGAGGTCATTCTGAGTAACAATCTTTGTAATCTTCATCAGGTCATTACATTTTGAAGTAATTAGGTAAATTATATTTCTGATCAAATTAAAGATTATGGCAACACTTATCTAATTTACAAGAAAGCCAAGTATCGCTTCTGAGGGAATAGAACCTGGGTTATGATTAAGTCATAGCTTTTCGCTCGCGCAAAATCAAATGAAGTTTATCTCCTAAATTCGCCATATGCGGTACAATATTTTAATCAAGGTACTGAAGTAGACATAAGTACCTCAACTTCTCCGTGCCACAGTTCCTTGAATTCCCCGCGGATCAGCGAAAGGATAATCGCAGGCAAAACCGTAAACGGGACCAGATAGAGCAACGCCGGCTGAGCTTCTTTCATGAGGAATAAGCTGACGAATGTGGCAATCATTCCCAACCCGTAGCCTGAATACACATAGCGAATACGAAAATCACGAGTACTCAAAGGAAATAAAATTCATTCAACCGATAGAAAATCCATCACCTTTCGACAGTCGCATTCATAAACTCGAGAAAAATACTACAGAATTTGAAATGTAATCTCTAGTCAAATGATAATTTTAAAAATCAAGAATTCGGACTGGATATTGGACAAGTACTGTACAAGCTTCCAAAAAGCAAAATTGAGATACCATAACACAATAATTTTCGTTCAGGTGTAAAATAATACTTACGCCTTTTTGAAATAACAGCGACGACGGGAGAAACAATATTATTTTGCAGTCTCCAGAAACGGAATAGAGTACTAAACATAAAAACACGAAAATCTTCCAAGCGAGGAGACTCACATATCACTTCAACGACGTAGTAAATTCGGAATCGAGTTCCGTATCTCAGGTCAAAGTAGTGGCAGTATGCAACAAGGATTCCGGGGCACAAAATATCTCCGAATCCCAACAAGGAAGCATTCGAGATACCACATACGGATAATGGATTGAAAGCCAAATGTGGCACCTTGATAAAAAAAAAAAAATCCAGTACAATGCCATCATTCATAAAAGTGTGAATAAAATGAAAACCGGCTTGTATTCAAGATTTGTAAAAATGCGCCTCACAACAAGTACGACGTCGAAGGTCTTACCACGAATAATGCATGACTTCAAGACGCTCATACTGTGTTTCCCCGACGTTATCATATTTACATGAAATAAGCCCAGGCAGAATAAGGTTCCTTATTGTAACTTAGGTCGGGTTGTTTTATATGAATGTAAGTTCATGTCATTAAGTTAAAGTGTCTTGGTGCAAAAATTATCTCTCGTAAGCCGTAATTTTAAGGGGCAATTTTTTTTTAGATAACAGCAGTTAGTTCGGCAGGAATTCAAATTAAGAGGAACTTCTTACTTCTACCAACATTCATCTTTTCGGTGGTCCTTATTTTCGACTATTCTTTACCCAAGAAATCACATGAAAAATACTCAGTTAATCTTGGCTCAGAGAATCGAAAATACGGCAACGCAACTCGAATTGATCTCCAGGTTGATGTGAAGATGTCCTTGCCCAGATGATGAAGCATCACAGATAATTAACAAGATTCGAATACCGTTTTATTAAAACAGGTTTAAAAAAATTTAAGAGCCGTGAATACAGTACTGGACTAACATTCTCATAAATCTCGAAGTAGGGAAGTCTAGAACTCTAGATGATTCAGCAATTGATGAGATTCGAATACTTTCTACAAAAAGTTTTAAAAAATTAAAAAAAAAGAGACGAAAATACTGTACAGTACTTAGATTCTAACAAATCTCGAAGAGGGTAGTCTGGATAATTCAAAAATTAATAAGAAATACTTCGACTCAAAAATAGCAGGTACACAAGCTACTTCCGTTCCCTCTGAACAAATGAATCTAGATTTGAGTACGACGGACTGAACGTCAGATTGATTGGATTTAGGACAATACAATTCTATTGTACGCCAGAGAATGTCCTTAGTCTTCTTTTCTTGGGAATAACTGATAAACGACCTGTTTTTTTCGGGAGGAACGCAGAAAATCTGGATTCGCGAATGGGGTTTTTGCTTCTGAAATCCAGATAAAGAGTAGAAAATTATTTTGACTCACTCGATCGTGGTAGCCGTTAACAAGGGCTTGCGCAGGTGGAAGAGGCTACGGTGAGCTCAGCGGTGGCCATCGGTGGACCTGGTAGTGTGACCTAGGTAGAAACCAGTTTATCCCGCACTACTTATGCTTTTAGATGTCGTAAAAAAACAGCAGTCCGAGGAACAGCGTTATGATCTTCAATGACCCGAGTCGCAAGACTCGGAGCAAATTGATACAAAAGGCCACGCCCAGTAAATCTTGAAGAATCCACGCCCATGACGCGTGTCGAAATACAAGCCAGACGACGGCGACCGAAATTGAAATCAGAAGAAAAACCAATCGCCTGACTTCGAATTTTGCAATTTCACCGGTCTCCGGGTCTTTGCAGCACGTAATATTGCAGCACTGCAATCTGAAAAAATTATGCATAACCGCTCCACGTGAGACAATTCCAACAAGAAAAGTATTCCAAGAATTCTTCGTGGATTTTTTTACATGACTAAGATTCGATAGTTACTAGGGTGTAAAAACATCAAGTGAGTAAAAATAAGACAGGTTACAGGAGGGGTAACATAATTTTAATGAAAAGTAGAAAAATTAGGAAATAAGCTTTTGTCAGTTTTTACCTCAAGAACAGGAAATTATCTGTACATCCAAGAGTGTTATAACATTCCCATGCCATACGGCATGAAAGACAAAATTTATTTCTCATGTACCAAGGACCTCTGACTTCAGACGTGAATTGAATAGTTTTTTTCCTTACCTGGTTCATGATTGAGAGCGACACAAAACGTTTTTCATCGAGAAATAGCTGTCGGATTTTGTGCATTAGCTAAGACAATATTTTAATTGGTTTAGAATACATTCTGTAACATTGCGAATTCAAAATAAACGAAAGCGGAAAATCATTAGCGGAGGATCAAATGAGGTAATATTGTATGTCATATAAAAATACAATTCGGAAAAGGCTTGGTGACAGGGAGTGATTGAGGCGAAACTTTCGTATCAACCCTCATACTTGAAGGAGGGAATAACTTCACGGTATTTCCGAATTACTTTACAGTATTTCCAACAGTGCAAGAACTACTACACGGTACTAAGCTCTTATTTTTTCATTATTCTCCTCCTGGAAGACAGAAAATGAAATAAAACTGAAAAAT